GCTCGCTAGCAGCCTCGCACCGAGGACCTATCCACGTCATCATTTACCCAGAATGCTTTGTGTGGAAATAAAATGTAACCCAGGTGTTAAGTCTGAATCTGTCTTCCTTTCTCCTGTAATCTGTTCTGCCTTATATGTTCACTTCTGTAGTAAAGTCTCGTGATATTTCCTATAAAGTTCATGGTAGTTCACGCAAGAGTTGACTTTATAGTTGAAGCCAATCACTGCGGGTCTTTCTGTGGTCAAGTGAGGTGTCGCGACCTATCAGAAGAGTTTATAAGCGAGAGCAGAAGTCTGTGTGACAGGCAGAGGGGCATGTTGAACGGAGCAGAGCTACAGGTCGGTCTAAGTTGTTTGTTGGCGTTTTCTATAATAATTCTGCGTGACAAGTACTGATAACATGTTACAACTGTAGGAGTCATCTATTGTGACCCGAGTTGAAGCGAATGGGCGTATGTGTGAAGTGTAAACAGCGGAACTGGTGAGTGTTTGTTTTGTTTGTGCTAACGTTAGCCTAGCACTTGTACTAATGAAATGTGTGTGTGTGTTAGTTGACTGTCGCAACACTGCAGCTTACCCAAATTTCCATACTAGTTGTTTGAAGGAAAATGTAAAGTGCCTTAAAACATTCACTGTTTTAATGATTAGCACTTTTAACTGGTTCTTACTGATATTTCTGATTGAAGTATTCACTAAATGTGTTTAATTAAATGCACATCAATGCATATTTATTGGACTTTGATGAATGTAACGTGAAATGTTATTTTTCTACATGTGTTTAGATTGTAAATTTTATAGTGCAGTTAGTGCTATTTATTTGAATGTAAATGTGTGCACACTGGATTAGACTAATGAAGATGATTGATTTATTTGTTATTGAAACACTGGATTAGACTAATGAAGATGATTGATTTATTTGTTATTGAAACANTAATGAAGATGATTGATTTATTTGTTATTGAAACACTGGATTAGAATAATGAAGATGGTTGATTTATTTATTATTGAAACATTGGTCCTGTTTTGATTATGCAGGCCAGGTGTCAACCTTTCGATGGCGAGCTGRTGGACCAGGCCTCGAGCCTACCTAAAGATTATCACACTGTGTGAAGACTCCTGCCCCTCTAGTCGGGCTGGTAGGAGGCTCCTTGTAGCCTGCAGACTCTTTTTTTACTCCATTGTTGCGTATTATCCCCTCCAAAAAGGATCTGCATAACGTCTTGCAGTCTATGAACCCCCCCACATCATTGCTGCTTTATGGTTCCCTCCACAAAGGATCTGCACAAAAACCCTTTGCACTTTTTAAACCCAGCTGGGGTTTAATGAACTGAAGGGTTGGGGAAAAGAAATGTTGGACTTGTTGTTTTTATTAATGAAAAAATCTTTGAATCACTGAATTTTTGTTTGGTTTATTTGGTTATCTTTATTTATGCGCGCTGTTTATTTATTTATTTTTGAATGGCCATTTGTTTAAATGTTTACATTAACTATTTAAAATTGTAAATTTGTATCTGGTTGCACGTTAAATATGGCACGGGTTAATGCAAAAGCTTCAGTCTCTGTCCACTCCTTCTTAGAGTCGTAACTGTTCTTCTGATCAACTAGCCTATTTGAGTCCTTTATTAGGTTTTATTTAAGCCTTATATTTGCAGTGTATTGGGTTTTAAATAACGCATATGCTACAAAAATATATTTTTGAAAATGTACAAAACTAAACATCCTACAGTATTTTTACAGTCTTTATTTTACAGTTAAAATATATGTTTGTCAAATAAAGTCTAATGTCACAACTAATCAGGGATCCCTTTAAAAAATGTCAAACTGTTAGATTTAACCTGGTCAATTTTAGACATATTGGATCTTATTTGTCACCTGAAGAAGCCAACATATTYATGCATGTAATTATTTTTATACACATTTATTTCATATTGTATTACAGGTTGGGGACAAGCKAACTCATCAATAATAAACCTAAAGAGTCTTCATACAAACAGGACCTCAAACTCTTTGACAAAAGGTCCTTCAGACACCATCATTGTCAGATTGCACAGAAACACTATTTTCTTTATTTTTTTAAGGATATTAGAGATTTTTCAAACATGGGAGCAGTGTACAAACATTTTACATGTTTTAGAGCTGATTTGTTTGCAATAAATAGTTTTTATCATTGTTGAGCTGTGTCTCTGCGCTCCAGCAGGACTGTGACCTTCCTGCTTGATGCTTGACCTTCAGACAGGCAGCTTCTCTGTTAAAGCCATGACTCAGTGCAACACCTAAAAACCTGCACTACTTCTGCAATCACTAAATGATACCAGGTAATCAGTAGTATAACTTGGGTTTATTAATGTGTGTTGGAGGGTGGGGCGGGCATGTTTTTAATTGTTAAATATCATTTTTGTTTTCTTGTTTTTTTTTATTGATATTAGATTAGGGCTGGGCAACATGACCTCAAATTCATCTCACGGTATAAACTGAACACCTTCACAGTAACGGTATATATCACGGTAGAAAATTATCATAAAAAATTAAGATAATGTAATTTTTGAGCTTTTTTTGCAGAAAACTGTAATCATAATTAAACACAGTATTTTTGCTTTAATATCTGCCTGCTGAACTTATCAGCTGCTGCATGATCATCTTCATCATCTTCATCATCAGAGAAGCTGACTTTACATTAACAAGATGGATTTATGACTGAACGAACGTCCACGTCTTTTTATCATCTCTGTGAGTAACAATACTTTAAAAAACAAGTTTTTTCTCAGACAATTGTGTGTTAAAAACTACAGTTGTTAAAGCTTCGCTCTGCGTGACGTGCAGTGAGAGGAGGAAATGGTCCTCTGACACAACGTAACTTTTCTACAGCGGGAAGGAGGAAATTTTGAGGATTTATCCTCTCTATGTGTTTTAAAACACTAGAATTTCTTCATTTTATTTCGAACTCCTGCTGCTCAGTTGTCTCTGCACTCACAGCCCTGTTGACACAGGTGTGATGAYGTAATGATGATAGAGGGTAAATTTCTACCGTAGGCCAACTTCATACCGTTTCTACMGTCTACCACATTTACCGAGCTGGCCTATATTAGATGTTTTATTATTCGTTACTATTTGTTTATTGTCTGCAGGAACTACAGATTTAAGTTAGCCTAAGGCTAAATCTGGTGCATCAAATGTTTTCATATTTATGATTTAATGGCTAACTATCCTGATTAAATAAAGGAATGGAAAACTTTAATAACTAAACCCATATTTTATCTTGTATACATCATTTCACTAGTGTAAGGATGTCAGAACTGACATGATGTCATTCCATTTAAAACCAAACACGCTTCTTTTCTGCATTGATGGCATCATCTCAGAACTGTAACATGTCCTTATCAAATGGGATATATAGTGTTTCCATTGACCATGAAAATGCGCAAATTTGAATTTCTAAAATAAATTTGCTCAATGAAAACACGTCAATTTTGAAAAAAAAAAAAACACGTTTTTTGACAAAATGTTTTTGCACTAGGATGAGGTGGTTTTTCAGTCGTATCTAAATTTGTGTTTTTCGCAAAACTGCAATGGAAACACTTTTTTCACATCACAGGAGTCACGTGATCAACAACCGKCTGTTTCTACTGGTGAAAAAGACGACGACGAAGAAGAAAACAGGAAGTAGAAGTAGTAGTAATATCACAGAAGTAGTATAAAGTAGTAAACTCAGCGACTACAATTTCCCAAAAACACAGCATACGTAGTTGCTCCCAAGTAGGGACTTGTCTCTGGAAAGCCTCGATAAAAGACGCCGACGTCTCCTCTGATGATGAGCGCTAGTGTCGTGGTAGCAACATGCTATGTGTTTACATCCATCGCTGCCATGTTTGTAATGACTTATCATGAGAACAAACGTATTCACGTGACTTTAATAACATTTCTTACTTAATGGAAACACTGCAGTTGKGAAACTGTGTTTTTTTGACATTAACAGAATATCAACAAAGTTTTGTGCACATTTGTAATGGAAACACAGCTAGTGAGACTTGCTGAAACCGTCAGCACAATCTCATTCATGATTATAAATTAATTAGACCGACTCTTTTAACATTTAACATCTGTACATCCCTTCCAGGTTTCTCTGAGGAACAACTGTTTTTATGAGCTTCTGTGATTTTCTTACGCATTTCTAAACAGCTCCTCTGCTCATCATAAAGTGAAGTCAAGGGGAGAAACATTTTTATCTTTTGTTCATTTGTGACACCATATTTACTGATTTGGTTTTTCAACATCAACACAACAGAAAACCAACTGTTACCTGTTGGAGAGAGCAGGTTAAAAACTTTCTGCAGGATGGGAGTTTCCACGAAGGCAGCAGGAGGACAGCTCATACCAAAAGAGCTGTCCTTATTGTCCACGTCAAACATGATGGCATCAAACTGGTGACCTGTGGACACACAATCATCCCTCACATCATGGTATACTTTATTAAACATGTGCTCTTATTCTGACAAACCTCCTCTCTCCAGAGCAGTGATGCGCTCCAGTCCATCTCCAACAGTAACGACCAGACGATCGTCCAGTTTTAGCCCGAACCACTCCTTGGCCACCTCCAGCACAGCGGGGTCCAGTTCTACCACCTCCACCTTTACATTAGGCACAAAGTCCCGCAGAAACTGAGGCAGACCTCCACCCCCGAGCCCCACCAGGAGCACTGATACGGGCCCATCTAACAGGGAGGAGCACATCAGCACATGTAAAGGTATTTAATGCAGGATGTTGGATCATTCTGCACATACTTCACACACCTTTGCTCTGCTGACCCCCCACCCGGAGCAAGGCCAGACCTGCCACCATGACCTCATGATGGGCGCAGCAGAGGAAGCCACTGTCCACCGACAGAGATGTTCCTGCTGCAGAGGAAGCTCTGAGCTTCTTTTTGTTCTTCTTCTTGTGACTCGATGCTGCAGACACACACAGAGCCTCGTTTAGAGTTTGTTAGTTTGTGTAATTAATAAAGTGACTTTAGCAGGACAATGTATGGTAAAACAGTGAAAACTAAGAGGAAGGAAAAAGCAAAGACCAGTGTTTGATGAGACGAGTCGGCTCTCTGACTGGACCAGGGCGGTGTTAGACATGAACACTAGTCGGCGATACAGTTCTCCRTCTTCTCCTCGCACGTTCTCCACACAGAACTCCCCGCTGAGCTGACTCACTCCTCTGCTGACCTCCTCCCTCCAGCCAAGGTCGCCTCCAACTGAGAGGAATGGAACCTGGACAAGAAATCAAATCAAACTGATCCAACTGTGTGAATAATGTGGTGCCACGATGCAGGCTTGGGCGTTACGAAGGTGTCTTGTTATACCACAGTATTAAAATATGATGAAGGTATGTAAATATGATGAAGGTATGTAAATATGATGAAGGTATGTACAGTGGTTTGCAAAAGTATTCATACC